CTATGAGGAAAAATTTCTTAGCATCACTCTGAATACATTTGCATAGGATACTCAAATCCTAAAGAGAATATAGAATTCTCTAATAGGAGATGGTATTCCTTGGTATTCCTTGGAAAGAGACATCGTTCGTGGAAAGGTTGAAGGTCAACAAAAGAGATGAAGACCCTCAATGAGATAGATTGACACAGTCACTATAGCAATGGGCTCAAGTGTGTCAGAGATGATTAAAATGGCATAGGATAGGCCAGGGTTCAGATCTGTTGTTCATAGGGTCACTATGAGTCATGCTTGACTCAATGACACCTAACAACAACAACAACAAAAAGAGGACTTTAATTAAAAGTCTTTAGGCTCATATGGCTACAGCCATATGATTGTAGATAAGATTCTTAATAGACTTCTGTCTTAGAAGAATTCTCAACCAACAGTATTACAAATACAATCCTAGTAGCTTAGATACATGAACTTTGTATCTATATACTGCAGCATCAAACCCAACAATAAATTATTATTAAGTGGACAATCTCTGGTAGCCTAATGGATAAAGAGGTGTGCTACTGACCCAAAGGTGAGCAGTTTAAACACATGAGCTTCTCCGTGGGAGAAAGATGGGCAATTTCCTCCTGTGCAATTTACAACTTCTGGAAACCTGCTAGAGGATCAGGTATAAGTCAGTTGACTGAACGGAACAAATGAGTGTTTTTTATTAGGTGAGAAGGAACACTGGCAGCACAGTCCAATTACAGGTTGTACTGTTAACCCAAAGGCAGTGCATCTCCAGCAGTTCAAATACACCAGTAGCTCCATGAGAGAGACAAGGCCTGCGTCCTCCCATTGCCATTTATGGGCTTAAGGTCACAGGAACCCAATGAATGATTACCGTTAAGTCAGAGCTGGACTCACAGCAGTGAGTAGGATTATTAAGAGAAATGGAATTGAATTTCTTTTAGCCAAATGAGGAGACCTGGGGTAGTATTAGGCTGCTCATTTAAAGGTCAGAAGTTTGTATCCAAGCTGCTCTCTTGGGAAAAGGATAGACAGTCCCTTCCTGTAAAGCTTTATTGTCCTAGATCTCAGTCGAGTGAGGGTTTCCATGAGCTGGAATCATCTGCACGGCAGTGTTGTGTTTGAGTTTGGTGAATAAACAAAATGTACCCTGATTATCTCTTGTGCTAATAATCACTAAATCTGAGGGTTTGCGTCATCAGTTCTTTTCAATAATATCACAAGTCAAAACAAATCCTAATAATATACTGTTGTACTTGGATTTCAAATGAAGTTTTTACATTTCCCCCATTTATTTAGGAAGACATTTTATCAGCTATAAACTTAAAAAGTTCTCTGACAGAGAAATTACACTTGAGTATATTTAGAAGTAAATATTATGAGCAAGTCTTTAAAAAGCATAAAAGCATATCCAAACCTATAAAATTTAATCATGAATTATTTATAGAAGAGTGAAGGGTAAAAGATAAATGCCTTATTCTAATTAATGTATGCTATGTACAAAATACTAAAGTAAGGTAGTATGAAAATTAGTATAAAGACAGATTTATCTAAAACTCTTAAGTGGAATTAAGTTTAAATGTGTTCCCTTTTTAAAAGATTTTGTGTTTATATGGTGTCTGAATGATATTTCTATTAAAAACCGTCTTGGTGAGGTATTCCATAATCTCAGGCTCCCGTGAGAGAAATTCTAGGTTTAAAAACTCTTGGAAGTTTCAAAGGGTCCTGGAATCTAATCATATAAAGATTTCTTTCTAGTCTTAAATCAACTGCACTACTATTTTATCACTGCAAAAGGAGGAAAAGGAAAGAAAGAAAATAACTATTTGGGGAGAGGCTTTTCTTACCTAGACTTCCTCCAAGACTTAGTGGCATATGATTAAGTCGCCAGGGTCCAATTTCAATCTGTCAGCTAGCACAGCTGTGTTCCCAAATGCAGTGGACACACATCCAGAGAGCAGAGAGCCTGTGGGTGCTTACTGTTGCTTCTAACCACCCCCCTTCGTTTGTCAATGAAAACCATTCCACTTCAAATGAGTTTATTCTGTAAAAGCCAATTTCAATACATTTTAAAAATGAAATAATGTAAGACATTTTTATTAACTTACAATATTTTTCTTTTTTGCGATCTTAAAAAAACGTATTTCCCCCTTTCATCTGTTTGGCAGGTAACTATTATAGCTTCTCTTAGCCTTAATCTTGGCAAGAACCTTTCATCTTCTGTATGAATTTCTCTATTCATATAGAAATAGATGTATAAACTAATGGGGGAGGAGGATTCCAAAGCAATAATCAGTTGTGATACCAGAAGGTCTATTCTCTACATGCTCTTTTGCCTGACTCTTGTGGCTTGGCTTCCTCAGTCTTGTTAACATTAGGGGATTTCTCTTTCATTTTTTCCTCTATAAAAAGTACTTTCTAGGGGAGCTCTAGTGGCCTAATGGTAAGGAGCTGCAACTACAATCCCAGAGGCACACGGTTCGAAGCCACCAGATGCTCTGCCGGGGAAGGAGGGACAATCTCCTCCTGTACCAGTCAGATCTGATTTGACGGTACACTCACACAAAAATAATAAAATAAAA